AGTTGGATGCAGGGTCACCTAGACTGATTCTTACCTTTCTCAGTCAAAATTCCTCATGTAAACCACAGAATGCAGAAAATGATTCGAGTGGCATTTTTCTCACATATTTCAAAGATAACTTTATCCAGTACCTTCCTGGATATATAGGAGAGAAATCAGTAGGTAGCATACAGTAAATGTCTTAGGACAGGAGTCAGCAAACTTTTTCATGAAGAGCCATATAGTAAATATTTTAGGTGTCATACAGATAGGAGGCAAAAAGTAAGGCTGCTATGTAGGTACTTTGATAGCCATTTAAAAGGTAACCATTTAAAAATGATTAAAAAAAAAAGAAAAACTGTTTTATGGACTGTTAAAAAAAAAAGGAAGCAGGTGCCTGGTGGGATTTGGTCCATAAGCTGTAGCTTATTCATCCTCTGTTTAGGGCATTAGGGCTTAATTTTTCACTGACTTTGTTCAGAAAATCCTCTTTTTATTTTCTCTCATATTTTCCTTCAGCTTAGCTTTTTGTTCTATATTTTGAGAGATTTCTGCAAATTTACCTTAGATTGCTTATATTTGAATTCAGCAGTCATTTTTAGTTGCAACACCACTGCATGCCTCTTAATATAGTGTCCTATTTTTGTCTTATAGATTCAAGACTTCCATAGATATTTCTAAGGAAACACCTTACAGTTTTTAAAGGTGTTTACTTTTGTTTCCTAAGTATTTTTTTTCTTTGGGGACAGTTCTTCTGGTTATACATCTGTGATCTCTGCTAATATAGTTACACTTAACAATGACACAATAGAAAAATCATCTATTGCTTCTATATATGAAAAGCACAAACATGGAACAATTAATTATATTTTTAGTTATCATTTGTACATTACACATTAAAACTGATGATTGCACTATTGTTGAACCTCTATCTGAAATCAAAGAGGAGCTCTTGCATAATGTGTGTGTGTCTGTGTGTGTTTAGGTTTAGGTGCCATATGAATGTTCTCTCATTAGGGCCATTGACCCCTTTGGTTCAACTTTCTGTTCTTTTGTTTTCAGTTTCTTCAGAAGCCCTGCTTCATTGCTTTCTTCCCCACTTCATCTCTTCCAGAAAAGTGTAGATATTGCTCACCTGCTGGTGGCCCTCGCATGTGCATATGATCTTTGCTCTGTTGCTTTTATGCTGATGGCTTATGGTGAATGATGTCGGATTCGTGATCTCCGAAGAAGATTTAACTTTGGGACCAGGGACCAGGCTTAATCACTCAAGTGCTTTGGTGTAGCAGGGTTTTATTAAAGTATAAAAAGGGACAGAGACAGCAAAGATCTTACCAGGCCCACTCCCACTATATATACATTTTAAGATAACAGGATTAGTCAGAAGGTTTTCAGGAAGGAGAAACATGTCCTCAAGCAGGATACGTTATTGTTATATAATCCTTACTAAGGAATGTAGAAAAAAACATTTGTCCTTTCCTCCTCCTTGAGAATTCCAGACCCCTGTCTCTGCCTTGAGAGCCTCAGATCCCTTTCTCCTCCTCGGGGACCCTGGACTTCTTAACAATTGCCTAGAAATTGACTGTCAGTGCCTTTTACAAATTCCTTTGTTATTACGAAAATAAGATCTCAAGGGGGAGAGGATTAATGTTTGTGTTTAAGCTGTCCTTCTTGAATTAGAATTCTCAACCACACATTTTAAATTGTTTTCTTGCATTTACCGTGTGCCTTTGATATATAAAGTAGACAAGTGTTTTATGGTGTTTTTATAATTCAGTAGGCAGCTATTCCTGGAGGAGGAAATGGCAACCCATTCCAGTATTCTTGGCTGGGAAATCCCATGGACAGAGCGTGCTACAGTCTATGAGGTCACCAAGAGTCGGACACGACCTAACCGAACAACAACAGAGAGCTATTACGTACTATTAACTTCAAAAATGGAAGGATGTAGTCAGTTTTCTAATAACTGAAAATGAAGGGGAGTGTCTGGGGAGGTAAAACTTCAGAGTGGAGTTGACATTTGAGCTGAGGCTTGAATAAGGGGTAACTTTTGGACTTGTTGCGTGGAGGAGGTATTGCACATGGAGTGACCTTAGCATGCACAGAGGCACAGATCAGAAAGCTCAGTGAGCAATAATTAGACTGTTTGTTGTGGGACTAGAGCATAGGGTGTTGGTGTATTTTCGTGGACAGGGGACAGTTACAGAACACAAGGCTCGAAAGGCAAACTGGGCTCAGGTCCTGAAGCTCATTCTGTGCCCAGGCATTTGAGTAATTTTCTTTAGGCCACTGGGAGTAGCTTTTGAATACAGCAGTAAAGAAGGCCTAAATTGTCTTTCAGATAAGTCACTCCAGTTACAATAGGAAAGATAGATTTTGAAGATAAGACAGTTGAGGTAGAGCCTCCTGCTAGGAAGCTGTTAATTATAGTCTGAACCAGGACGGCAGAGGCCTCTTCAGGTCACATCTGATATCTCTTGTCTTAGCAGTATTAAACATCTATACTGTCTACCAGGTATTTTGTTAGGTGTTGAGACTTTTTGTTTTTTCTCTTATAATACTTTTCATGGCTTTCTTCCCTGTTCTCACTGGGACCATCAAAGGCAAAGCTCTCAACACTTGATGCCTGAGTTACTACAGTCCACAGTCCCTGTGGACTCCAGGGTCTCTCTCTAGTCCTGTTTATTTTGTGTATCACTCACAAAATAATATTTACATGTGATCTTCATCATTTTACTCTTTTCCTTTAAAAGCTTAATTTTCTCCCATACCAATCAAGTTTTAATTCGTTTTCTGGGTATCAGTGCCTTCAGCCTGGCTTTTCCCTAAATAACAAAATTTTTCTTAAGATTTTCTACCATAAAAATGTTCTTGTTAGTTGATTTTCGTAGAGCACGCTCATTCTGCCCGCTTGCCTTTCTTCCCTTTGATCTCCTTGCTGTGAGTATTCTCTGTATTTTCTTACTCAAATTCTTCCCATCTTTCAAGTCTTAGCTCGAGTATCATCTCCTCCCCCAAATTTCCTCTACATCTTCCTAGAAAGGATTATTCTCTTACACTGTTTTCTAACCCCAAGGCATCAGTTCAGTTCAGCCCCTCAATCGTGTCCGACTCTTTGTGACCCCGTGAATCGCAGCACGCCAGGCCTCCTTGTCCATCACCAACTCCCGGAGTCTATTCAAACTCATATCCATCGAGTCGGTGATGCCATCCAGCCATCTCATCCTCTGTCATCCTCTTCTCCTCCTGCCCCCAATCCCTCCCAGCGTCAGGGTCTTTTCCAATGAGTCAACTCTTCACATGAGGTGGCCAAAGTACTGGAGTTTCAGCTTCAGCGTCAGACCTTCCAATGAACACCCAGGACTGATCTTTAGGATGGACTGGGTGGATCTCCTTGCAGTCCAAGGGACTCTCAAGAGTCTTCTCCAACACCACAGTTCGGAAGCATCAATTGTTCGATGCTCAGCTTTCTTCACAGTCCATCTCTCACATCCGTATGTGACCGCTGGAGAAACCACAGCCTGGACTGTGGCTTCCACCCTCGTTGTTCCTGCATAGTCACACTGTGACTGCAGGGGTGCCAGCTGTCCTAACCAAGTTCCACACAGGAAAACGGAGGACAGAGGGCAAAAGCAACAGCTCTTCCAGCTGAGTCAGCCCCATTTAAAGAGCTCTCCCAGAAGTCCCACCCGGTGACTGAAGCTAGGTTGGCCTCTTTAGTCACCCCTAGGTGCAAGAGAACTTTTTTAGGGAGTCTTACTGAGAGTTTCAATGTTGAACAAGTCCAGAGGGCACTGTTCACACAGAAAACAATACATGAAAAAATGGAGTGTTTTGTATTTTTATCTGGGTGATGATGACATGGTAAACATGTATGAATGGTCATCAAGCTGGATATTTAAGATTAGTAAATGTTATACTTTTCTGAATTTGTTCTACTTTTCAATTAAAAAAGTTAATGCCCCTCTTCCCCAGAGTTGTGGTGACCCTAGGCAGATTGCTTCGGGTATAATTAGGATTATGTTATCAGAAGGACTTAAGGAAGAGCAGACATTGGTCTGGGTATCTCAATATCCTTGTCACACGTATAGGACTTGACATCAGCTTTTGACATATAAGCCAAAGTTTTAATATATTTCAGTGTTTAATGTGATTTATCATAGTGAAAATATGAATTTAAATGTAAGAATGTTCTATACACCATCTTAAGCTCTGGTTTAAAAAGTTATTAAAGATTTTCTTTTTGTTTGATATTTAGTAAATATTGTTAATAACTTGATGTTGAAACATTTAAGCAAAAATAAAAGCATTGGCTTTGAAAAATAAAATATTAATACTATATGTTAATTTTTACTTGTGCTGTAAGATATAAACAATAAGTGAAAACTCAGTGTATACTTTTTGACTGCTTAGGTATTTTATATAGTAGAAGCAATATTGGTTTTATCAAGTCAGTACTACAAGGATTCAGAACACTTGTTACCATAAAATCAACATCCACTTTGACTAGTTCTAACCTGATAAATAAAAAGTGAGTACATAAAATTAATAATAAGTTAAAATCCTGTCTGTATTTTTAAGTGCTTGCAAATATTTAAATTTTTTAAATTGTGTCTTTTATTGTATTTTAGAAAAAATGGGAAAATAAGAAACCAAATTCACTTTGTTGTTATGGTAAAACTTAGAAAATGGTTGACATGTGATGAGTCTTGGCTTTTGTATTAAGTTTCACATGTAATTTAAAATACATTGTAAGTAACAGGAATTAGGAAATGGCAATGTTTACAAGCATTTATTTCTTGGTGTCTGTGGCTTGATATTCACTTCTTTAAAAATTGAAAGTAGAGTTGATTTACAACTTGTTAGTTTCTGGTATACAGCAAAATGATTCAGTTACACGCACAAACACACAGGTATGTGTGTATATATATATTCTTTTTCATTGTAGGTTATTATAAGATACTGAATATAGTTCCAGTGTTCACTTGTTTTTAAGCAAAGGTTATTTTTTCCTTACTTAGGTTCATCCTCAGCAACACCGGCTTCTATTTGAAGTGTTTGATGAAAATCGATTGGTAAGTCCTACCGTACAAACATAAACTGTGAAGCAAGGGTATACTTGAGTAATAAGCAAAAGTAGGCTGGGAATCTGTGAAATGAGAGATGCTTTTGAGGTGGTTATGGAAAGACTGAGCAAAGTAGTGGATAGAATTTTTTTTTCCTCCTCTTTCCTGGTGCCACTCTCTACTCTTTTCTTCGCCCTGGCACCTCTCCTGATTATCAGTTCTCAGCAGATTTCGTGGTCTTCCTCAAGGTCTCTCATAGCAGGAGATACAGAAAAGTCAGCTTCTTGGCCTGACTTTCCTGCACACTATGCTGGTACTCTGGTTGATAGTCCAAGGCTCAGGAGCCTTCCCCTCTGAGCTCCGGTAGAGATCTTAAGGTTGCTTGTATCCAGTTATGACATCCCATCCTCTCCCTTATCCTCACCCTTCTATTGAATACAAAGGAAAGCACTCTAATTGATGAAATTAAGTTCTCTAAAGAATTGCCAGTGTTCAGAGAGACAAGAAGCAAATATAACCTGATTTTATTTTTATAAAAGGATAGTTGTGATTCCTAATTTCCTAAAGACTCTTGAAATCCTACCCTCCTCCTAATTTGTCTTGGAACTGTATTTCAAACCTTTTTAGCATTTTACATTTACATTTTAAACCTGTAAGATTTGAATATTGAGGCATAAGAACAGTGTTATATGGTCAAAGCTTATCAATTACTAAACAGAAGCACAACAAAAATTAAAACAGTTTTATTCATTTTGTAGCTAACATAGAAGCTAGATTTTTTAAAGAATCTATTTTTAGTGTTGGACTATATAACACTCGGTGTTATAGATGTGATAACTGTACTAGTAACAGAAAATACTAGAGAAGGGAATGGCAACCCACCCTAGTATTCTTGCCTGGAGAATTCCTCAGCCAGAGGAACCTGGCAGGTTACAGTCCACGGGGTCACAAAGAGTCAGACACGGCTGAGCTACTGAGCATAGCACAGCACAACTGAAGATATTTCAGATGAAGTCATTAATTAGTACCATTATAGGCAAAGGTACTTTGTTTGCAGTCAAGGGAGACTTGATCACTAACTTGGCAATCTAATTTTGTAAGGCTCAGTGACAGATGTTGATGATTTGCTTATCATTTGGTTAGTCACAGAACTTTTATTTCTGTTTGTATTTTTGCCTTTTTAATAATAAAATGGAGATGTTTTCATTTTTTCCTTCTGTTGCTACAGATCTGTTTTCCTTCTAGATAGGACCAGGTGAAATTTAGTATTGGTGTTTTGTAATCATGAAATAAACATACAAAAATATGTATACTATAATATTTATCTTAAATAATAAGACAAATATCTGTATGTTTATTATTCAACTTAAGAACTTGAACATTACCAAAATCTTCAAAGCATCCTTTAACCCTTCCAATAGCATCTCCTTTTTCTCTCCCACAAATAGTAACCACTGTCCCGAATGTTGTGTCTATCATTTCTTTGCTATTTAAAAAATTTTATCATGTATATATGTATCCCTGAAAAACATAGTGGTTTCCATTTTCATATTTTTGGAGTTACTAAAATAGTAGCACTGTGAATACTTCCCTCTGTGACATGCTTTTGGCTTAATGATATATTTATGAAGTCATTCCATAAGAACATATTTCATAAATGCATAGTTTTCCCTTCATCTGCAAATGCTATAATACCACAATTTATGTATTTATCCTCCTTAATAGATATGAGTGTTGTTTCCGGGTTTGTGCTATTATCAATTAATAAACATTCTTGCTGTGTTTCCTGATACACATGTATGATTGTATCTCTAAGATTCATATTTTGGGCTTGAATTGCTGGTCATGGTATTACTGTGTTCTTTTTCCTGTTGTTCGTGATACTGATGTGACTTTCTCCCTGATTCTTGGGCACATCATTGGTGAACTGTTTTATTTGAATTATTTGCATATTGTACACAAGGAGGGATAGCTCATGCTGATGCTTTCCACCCTGCTTATAGTTATCTAGTCTTTTTGCCAGTAATCTTAGTACAGTATGACTCTTCATTGCCAAAACTAATATTTGTCATGCTCTGATCAGTGCATTAACACTCCTTGAGCATTTATTGTGTATAGGGTATATACAGAGTGTCATGGTATGTCAAAAAAAAAGCATTGCTTATGATATTAACAATGGAATATTTCTAAAAGCAAAAAGAAAATAATGTATTGATCAGCATATTATAGATCCCTATACCAAAGAGTCAGAATTCCTTGTAGTCCGACTTGTGTTTTGGTATATTAGCTTATGCTGCTGCTGCTGCTAAGTTGCTTCAGTCGTGTCCAACTCTGTGTGACCCCATAAACGGCAGTCCACCAGGCTCCCTCGTCCCTGGGATTCTCCAGGCAAGAACACTGGAATGGGTTGCCATTTCCTTCTCCAATGCATGAAAGTGAAAAGTGGAAGTGAAGTCATTCAGTCGTGTCCGACTCTTAGCGACCCCATGGACTGCAGCCTACCAGGCCCCTCCGTCCATGGGATTTTCCAGGCAAGAGTACTCTAGACAAATTATTTAATCCTTCTGAAGATATTTTCCCATGTTTAAAAAGTAGGGATAACAGTATTTGTCCTACCTATCTGATAAATACATTATGAAAATAAAAATGAGACAGTAGCTATCAAAGCCCTTGAAAGTTTTTTATCATTAATATAATGTGTGATTTAGAGTTCATGGACTTATGCATTTACAGCTGTCTGATATCACATTTTGTGTGTTAATTACAGTATGCCATTTTGAGCATACATTTTGTTCAGTACTCTGCTATGCATTAGAAATTAGAAATGCTATGCATTTTCTTAAGAAGCTCACTTTATAAGCAAAAGGGAAGAAGAAATAATTAAGAGTGGTGCATGTCATTGTAATACTCTGATTTGTTGCTGGTCCCAGCAGATAATTGAAGTGTACAGATTACCTAAGATGTCATAGAAACTAGAGCCATTGATGGAATAGCAAGCTTGATTGTGTAGCAGTAAATTGACCTGTGCACTGTAAATGCCATTTTATCTTCTCCTGTAGCATTCACAACTAAGTTAGAGACACATCCTTTTCCTAGCAAGGTTCTCTTTAGAAGTGTATGGCATAGAGCAAATATACTTTTAAGGAGAAAGAATTTCTAGTATTATGGAAAATGTTTGCAATATAAGTGACATTTTTTCAGCCAATTTTAAGAACCTGGGGATTATAAACTATCATAGTTTGGTAATGGTGTTGTTGAGGGTGATGGGACATTTGAGAATGATGTGCCTTTAAATGAATTCTTCATGTACCAATGCGAAAGTTAGTGCTTCTGTGTCACTCAGTTCAGTCACTCAGTCGTCTCCGACTCTTTGTGACCCCACGGACTGCAGCACACCAGGCTTCCCTGTCCATTACCAACTCCCAGAGCTTCCTCAAACTCATGTCTATTGAGTCAGTGATGCCATCCAACCATCTCATCTTCTGTCTTCCCCTTCGCCTCCCTCCTTCAATCTTTCTGAGATCACTGACTCTCAAAACTGGATAACAGAGACTGTGGAGGAAACTAATTTTCCTCCAATTCAACTACCAGCCATTTGATCTTCAGCAGTAGTTTCATATTTAACCATCATTCACATTTCTTCTCTACCAATAAACACTGCCACAAATTAGGATGAACAATACAATTTAGCTCAGTAAGTGAAGAATCTGCCTGCAATGCTGGAGATACAGGAGGCATGGGTTCGATCCTTGGGTCAGGAAGATCCCCTGGAGGAGGAAATGGCAACCCACTCCAGTATTCTTGCCTGAAGAATCCCATGAACAGAAAAGCCTGGCAGGGCACAGTCTTGAGGAGCCACAAAGGAGGGTGTGTCTGAGCGGCTAAGCACACAGCGTAACAGAGCATGTCATCTTTTAGGCTGTGCGCTTGTAATCACTGGCTGCTACCCAGATCCTGACTGTCTGCTCATACATCTACAACAGCCTCTTTTGGAANGAGTTTTCCAAATTTGCTGGCATATTGAGTGCAGCACTTTCACAGCATCATCTTTTAGAATTTGAAATAGCTCAACTGGAATTCCATCACCTCCACTAGCTTTGTTTGTAGTGATGCTTCCTAAGGCCCATTTGACTTCACACTCCAGGATGTCTGGCTCTAGGTGAGTGATCACACCATCATGGTTATCTCAGTCGTTAAGATCTTTTTGTATAGTTCTTCCATGTATTCTTGCCACCTTTTCTGCTTGCTCTTTTTTGCTTCTGTTAGGTCCATACCATTTCTGTCCTTCATTGTGCCCATCTTTGCATGAAAAGTTCCTTGGTATCTCTAATTTCCTTGGAGAGATCTCTAGTCTTTCCCATTCTATTGTTTTCCTCTATTTCTTTGCATTGATCACTGATGAAGGTTTTCTTATCTCTCCTTGCTATTCTTTGGAACTCTGCATTCAGATGGGTATATCTTCCTTTTCTCCTTTGCCTTTTGCTTCTCTTCTTTTCTCAGCTATTTGTCTTCTCCTCAGACAACCATTTTGCTTTTTTGCATTTCTTTTTCTTGGGGATGCTCTTGATCCCTGCCTCCTGTACAGTGTCATGAACCTCTGTCCATACTTTAGGCACTCTATCAGATCTAATCCCTTGAATCTATTTGCCACTTCCACTGTATAATCATAAGGAATTTAATCTAGGTCATACCTGAAGGGTCTAGTGGTTTTTCCTACTGTTTTCTGTTTAAGTCTGAATTTTACAATAGGGAGTTCATGATCTGAGCCACAGTCAGCTCCCAGTCTTGTTTTTGCTCACCGTGGAGAGCTTCTCCATCTTCAGCTACTACTCACAGTGACACATTTGTGTCACTACCCAAGAGCTATGTCTGCACACATCCAGCCTCTGAAGCCTTAGGAGACTCCTATATTTCATATTCTAGGTGGACATGCTGTGCATCTCAAGTTTAGTGGTTGTATTAGTCAGGGTTATCCAGAGAAACAAAACCGATAGGATACACATACATGC